GTCACATATCTTGCAATAAAGGACTTCATGTTTTCACACCTCGACACTCATAGCTGCCTTGCACCACACTCACTCAGTCATGAGATTGTGCTGTCTTGTGATGTGTCCTGATATCAGAATGGACAGCGGTCCTCTGTCAGCCAGTCCTGACCCAGCCTGTACACACCCCCATACAGGGGTTATTCTCTGAGAGTACACACTGCCCATTTAAATCAGCAGTTTAATAAAGCATCACTGCCCTCTGTTACTCATCTGCAGTTCGCTGTGGTCACGCACGTGTTCGTACAGTAGATAATGAACATTAGAGGCAGTCAAATGGGTCCAAACTTCCTGTTCGAAGCCCTGCATATGTTGGTGAGAAACATGTGTATATCATTGATTTCTAACCCATAATGGTTTTGAGGAAAAAGGTATCAACGTTCCCTGGTGGCGACTGGGCTAAATTTAGTGCACTATAGTGCCCTCAAAAAGCATCCTAATAGTGGAAATTGTAATTGGATATTGATGCCACTCCTTTTTCATTTCTGCGTTGCTTGGTAAAAACATTTTTTATACATATAAGATTTTAGAAACAGGCTCTGATTCTGTTTATCTGTCTGAACAGTTATATGGAATGAAAAACAAAGAGGCACGGTGCTACTAGACAGTAGTAGTTGCAGGAGTGGCATAAAAGTAAGATAACAGTAATAAAGTTATAAAAACAAAGATATGAGACTTACAAGCCTAAATGTGCAGGTCTAAGATGCTACATGTCATCTAAAATAATGCTTTAGGAAATATTTATACATATTTTTTAAAGGCTGCTTTTTTCATAAGAGGCTATGAATGTCAGATTTTAAAAAGCTGAAATTCATCCCCACAAGGCAGTATATTGAATTGTTTTGTTGTAACGTCACAACTGAGACGTCTCTATGTTCTGTGATTAGGCATTTTATAATGAAAGTTTTGAAACTGTGAACGCTCTGACCAGTGTTTAAAAGACAGTTCACCCATTACAGTATGCAGAGTGCATATTCTGTACATGTGATGCCAAGAACAGAGTTAGCAGCATCTCAATAATCTTGAACACAGGAAAAACAGTCTGCAGTAATATTTGCATCGGTTCAGTGTCTCCGTCACCTCAGCAGGGTGGGACAGTCAGCAGTGCGTGAAGGTTTGACAGTCATGTGACCACCAGGTCACTGTCCTCCAGCCACCACGTCCACAGAAGTCAGCAGTCATTACGTGAGCATCGGTCTTGTACACTATGGGACTCATTAAAATCAAATTAAACGCTGACAGCAGGTCACTCATGAGTAGCTAATGCAATTAGAGAGAGCAGAGCTTTGCAAAGATTCTTTTATCGCAAAGTAAATCTCCCCCTAATTTTCTTTTCGCCATTGTTGGCTCTAGTCTCATGTGGCACATGAACAGGCTTCTGCTTGGCCACAGCAACTCAAGAAAGTTTGGTTTCCACCCAGAACGTGCAGACATGTATGATTGTACGGCCAATTAACTGCAGTAGTATGAGTCTTGTGTGGTTTCTCCTTGTTCACCTCCTTTCTTAATGATAAAAACATGATTGATCCTCATCATTATCCTGACCAGAAGAGAGCTCTTGATTAACTACACTTATGGTCTGGTTTTCCTGCTGTGTCACTGGACTACATTACATGATTTATCTGCTACAGCTCGTAGCTGTGCCAAACACTTTGATCTTCAACACCAAACAGTTTCAAGCACAGTAGCCTACTCTGATGATGACACTACAGGTTCTTGCAACAGGAGTCGCAAGAAAAGAACAAGACTTAAAGTCATGCTAGCAGCTTTGTTTGGCTTTACGTAAACACAAAAGGGGTTTGAGTAAAATGCTAACATTGGTGTGCTAATACGGTCAGAGTTACAATTAAAGGTGCAATAAATAGTTAGTTGTCAGCGATTAAATTACTCACTAGCTATTTTGATAAGTGATTAAACCACTTGATTTAAAATAAATAATAATAATTCAAAAACCTATGATCCCATCTTTTTCAAACTGGAGATATTGGGGTTTCTTTGCTTTTTTGTGAAACTAATCTGAATAGCTCATGGGTTGAGGGAAAAAAGACATCTGAGGGCATCATACGTATTGGGCCTTGGGAAGCATGAGTTGACATTTTTAACTTTTACATGTGATAGACAAAACAACAAACCAATTATTCAAGCAAATAATTGACAGGTTAATAAATAATAAAAGGAATTGTTAGTTTCAGCCATAATTAGAATGCTAATACACTCACACTATTCAGTCATTATGTTTGCTATGATCACCATCTTAGTTTAGCATGTTAGCATGAACAATTTTGTTAATTTGGAATGTATTGAATGCATTTTTGACCTGGCGCTAGAGGAGAAGTCAGTGCCTTACTGGGATTCAGCCTCTTAAGACCATGAATGTCAGCACTGAAGTTCACAGCGATCCAGTGTGTTTGCAGATATTTCAGTCTTGGTGGACTGACAAACCCTGCTGTCCGTAGAGTCAAAATAAATTAATTACCCTGACTTAATAAGGTCAAATTGATTGACTGAAAAACACAGACACCCTTAAATAAATCACCGTCATCATTGACACTTTTTCAATTTTAGTACCCACACTGTGCTAGAACTTTCCACATACCAGCAGTTTTTGTTTCTCTCAAAAAATCAGTGTTGTACAGTGTTTTAAATGAAAGCTTACTACTTTTAAATCTTGTACAAAGTTCATTTTGTATCATTTTCCTCTTTTTTTGTTTGCTCTTTTTTTAAATGTATGTATTTTTTAAATATATGTATAAATCCACGCCATTTATTCTACCAAATTCAGAATCCAGTCAGCAGTAACCATTGCTGAAAGTTATCAGAGGATTTTTGGTGTTCTTAGTTAGTGAGGCATTTTCAAAGTGGCAAATTTAACCAGAATAAATGAGCAGAAGGTAACACGACTTGCTTGGTTTCCTTTGTGGTGCAGAAAATGAAATCCCCAAGAATTCAAACTTATTGGAAAGACTGTGTGGGCTGCGTACTGAGAAATGTCCTTGTGACCAAAATGAACTATCAACTATCCAATAAATCACTGCCAAGGTGATACATGTGTGCGTAAATTAAACACGTTCACAAAACCAGACATTTCAGATGTTTGTCAAGGCAACAAACATCAGAAAGGATCTCATGTACAACCCAAACATCCCAGATGATCTTTTAACTCCGGTAGTCCTTGAACCTTGAACCTCTATTTGTCTTTCGTAGCTAATTCAGTGTGTTGTAGTGCAATTGTTTGAACTGGGAGACTTGTTTTTTTTGTTTTAGAAGACAATGACTGTCTTAGAGGCGAGGGCTGGGTTGATTTATGACCTTGAGACTTGTTCCTGTATTTACGCGCTCTTTAACCACTGGAGGGCAAAGAAGACGTCATAGGAAATGTTTCTCTGTCGCAAGACACAGTCAGATTCTTCACCCAACCAGATCGGTGTGTCTACCTTTCTGTACCACCAGCACCACATGATATCACGATGTGTTGCGTAACATTTGCAGTGTTGTGGACTTAATGGTCATCTTGGTGAATTAATTATTCACAAGTTGCCCCTCCCCTAATGGCAGACCCTGTGGGAGTGTAGCATTTCCTGGAGGCACTGAGGGCAACAGAGCCAGCTTTGACCTTGGGAGTGTCTGATGTTGAAAGGAAATAGACAGATGCTCAAGATAAACGTGCTGCCTGGAAAAAGTGCCCAAAGAACTCAAGGGCTGCTTTAAATAAGACTGTTGAATAAAATGGACCCATACCTTATTTATAGTGCATATGGCTGAGGACATCTTAAAAACCGGTGGGAATTTTGTTTGTTTAAAAACAGAGTGAAGTAGCGGGAAAGTGGCGCGGCTGCATGTGGTGCTTCCTGTTCCAGCTGTAGCAAAACGCAATCAAGAAAATGTGGAAGGAACTTTGAGTATGAAGTAACAATAATCTGTCTCTGCCGTTGCAGTTTGTGAGGGATTTGCTGAGTGTCTGCGCTTTGTCACTTCCTCTGCTGGATCACATGTTCTGTTGCTGACTAGTCACTCTGTTAGAGACACAGCGGTACAGGATGTTCAGCTTCAAAACTCAGCTCTTTCATCCACACAAGACTTTTGACATTTGGACAGACTGTGTGTCACTTCATCGCCTTTTGTTTTATGTTGTTTAATGTTGAGGGTGAAAGCTAATAAGAGGATGTTTGATCAGTGAAGGTATCCCAATAAATGTTTTCATTTGACAGGAAATCGCACTGCATCTTCGTCCGACCACGCTACGCGCCCTTTATGGCAAAGACAAAGTGAAAAACGCAGTCCACTGCACAGACCTTCCTGAAGACGGTGTTCTGGAGGTGGGTGACACGTGTACATTGTACTCTCCATGTACTGTAGCCAACACCCACATTGTTTCATCTGTGTAGCTCCTCTCATCCTACAAATAGGTTTCCTCATTGTCTCTCGCTCCATGCATAAATACGTACCTTAGCCAAGAACAAAGCCCCCTCAACTCGGTGAAGCCACGTCCTTAGACCAGTCTCATGACTCTGCTCTGTGGGCCGGGGCAACCTTAGATCACACTGGTTTTGAGGAGAACAAGAATGGCAGAGGAATTTGAAACAAAGCCATTGTTTTGCAGGGAGTGGGTCTGACCCATCGAGCGTCATTGTTCAGGAAAACTCCTGATCTGTAGCCTGGACAAATGCCTCCTTGTTAAACATTAGCCTGTGACTGACTGAGCTGCCATTTTCCCAAGACGGGCACATAGTGGCCAAGAAAAGGCTTGTGCAGAGAATTTACTCTGAACTTTTACAGCGTCACTGTTCTGCTATCAGACAGAAAGGCCCAGCTGACACTTGACATTAAGCATTAATTAAGTAGTGTAATAATTTTATTTTCTGTAACTTTCTTTTCCAGGTGCAGTATTTCTTCAAGATTTTGGATGGATGAAAGCAAATGAGAAAACGTGTTAAACTATGTATTCAAAAACTTCACAGTAGTCTCATTTTTCTGTTTATTGTTTCAGCCTTATGCAGATTAAATAAAGTGACAAGAGCAGACTCCTGACAAGTGTTTGATCTTCAACATTGAATTAAGTATTTTCACACCAACTAAACATCTTATTACACGGGATACTGCATTGCCTCTGATATTTTCTAACTTTTTGACCAGCGACTTTGGTATTGGATTCATACATTACACTTTGAAAAAAAAAATGTACAACTGCATAAATATAAAATTCTTCCACCATGAAAATGGCTAAAACATTCAATAGTAAGTTGCATCACGTCATGTGATGTCTCCAGCAAAACAGATTTCAAAGCACTGAGTTGCCACTGTTTCCATGGAGGTGACAGTCATCTAGGCTGGACCCACAAAGCTCTACACTATGAATTAAGAATGAACAGATGTAAGAGTATCAAACAGAAACGTCATCAAACCATGTCTAACAGCTAAGGTGAACAAACTGTGTACAAATGTATCCTTCCACAGCCAACTTGGATAAAGAAACACACAAAAAAAAGGTTCTATGGAGCGCAGTCATTTACTCATACATGGGCCTTAAAGGTTCAGAGTACCATGCTAGTGTTTCAGTTAGTCAGAGCACATTAACAAACTCCACGCACTCACATAAACTAACACGCCTGCACACAGACACGAGCGCACACACACACACCTTGGACCACTAAAGCTGACATAAGACAAAAGAGATTACAACAGGACTGGACTACAGCACAGGACACTCCAAAAATATATAGAAACCACGTGAGGATGAAATACCTTGGGGACAGAAACACAACTCGCTACACGTCAGTAGTGGAATTGCAGTTTTACAGTAATAGATGAACACATCCCATGGCTCAAGGAATATTTTCATTTACAGTAGAATAAATATTTGCTATTGCTACTCTTGTATTTTACATTCTAACCCTCGACAAACACACAGAAAAGCTAGTGTAAAGCACACGGATTAAGTGTAGGTCCTGTATATTATGAATGTTCAAAGACTAGTGGTGTTTATCTGAACTCTTGTATTCTCTCTACATTTTGTTTGTTTGCAAAATGAGAGTGCTCATCGTGGCTGAGGTCACGACTTTATTGTGATCTTAACGTCAAAGCGTCCCTGATAGCGGTCTTTCTCACTGTAGTCGATATTTGCTCCATATACTTTGCACTCAATGCGGAGCTCCTCGTTCATAGTGAGGTTGGTGAAGTGAATGGCCACCAGAGGCTGCAGGTACTGGGGGTGCAGCAGTTTGCCATAGTAGGGGTAGTACTGGAGAGGAAAGCCTTCGCTGATGCCATAGTACTTGATCTCACCGATCTTCTCCTCATCTTCTTCTCTCTGCAAACACAACAGTTGAATGGGACTTACAATCAAAACTTTTGCAATATTTATACAGACAACACATATTTATTCTCCTGATATGCAGGTACTAAAACATCAGGGCCTGACACTATAATTTCAAACATACCTTATTTTTGCAGTAAATGGGGATCAGGTTGGACAGTGCTTTGCCCTGCAGAGGCTCTGGGATTGTCTGATTGTTAGTGGGACCCTAAAAGAAAAAGAGAGATGGGTTGATGATCAACATCCTGTTCTGGTGGTTGTGTTAGGTTTGATTCTGGCTGGCAGGTTTACATGGTGCAAAATACAAGCAGTGTAGTGTGTAGATATTGACCGAGGATCGGATCAAAACAAAAAACAAAAAAACAAACTGGTGGAACCTGTTACCCAAAAATGTATATCTGTTCTAAATATGTAAGTCAGTATGTTAGTATGAACATTTAAAACAGCAGTTCCTTTTTTGCCATGGCAGAAATACCAGGTCAGCATATAACATAATATGGGTGATTAATAATTGTATATTGTATAAAACATGCCACACTCCCCATATTGAGGAGAACTGTCTTATAACAATGCTGGACTACCAACATGAAGAATATGAATCAATGCAGCAGAACTAACACAGAATTCAACACATACTTGTTATCTAGCAAAATCTGGCACCTACTTTACCAACAATACAACTTTAACAGGGGGCAGCTCGGTCGGAAATTTGGGGATGTGATGCTAACAGTGGATAATATAGCCTCCAGCCTCGAGCACAGATGAATGCCACACTACAGAGGTCTGGTAAGTTAATTTCCTTTAAACTCCACGCCCTCAGATTACTTTATTTGTCACGCTTGTAGTCTTCCGACATGACTGGGGGAATTTCCCTTTCAGAAAGTGGAGCATGTTCAGAACGATACCCACAAACGATGCGCTTTGAAAGTTACGCTAAGCTTCCTACATACATGTGGTTGAAACAATAACCCCTGTTGCTCTTCCATAATGAGTCTTTGTTGCAGCCAGCTTACACTGAAACTGATTTATGTTCTGACTCAGGTTTTGTGCTGCTTATTTCCACTTTTTCATAACAGTGATAGACAAGGATGACTGGTGAGTTACATTTACACTGTTCTTGGCACTGTTTGTCACGTGGGTGGCCATTAGGGCTTGATGGGTGACATTTCACACTAGTTAAAAAATTTTTTACATTTAAACTTGACTGTTTTTTGTCCCTTTTTCAAATGTTTTCATTATTCAATTACTCTAGACATTCTATAATGTAAGTGTGCAGTAAACCTACCCTTGGTCTGAAGTTGACAATCCTGTTAAGCTTGACAATCATGCATGGCTTTCCCTCCCCGAAGCCATAAGTGGGGTCGGAGTCCCCTGAGCAGCTACCAAGCCAAGATTTAAGGAAACGGCAAGCTCTCCTCAGTCCGCTGTCACTCTGCAGAGGGCCGCGGTCCTTGTATGTCTGAGGAGTGACTGCAAAAGGGGCAACAAAAAACACATTTGACCTGGAGATGTAAGTGAATACTGTACACACAAAGCAACACTGTCATTGCTTTTCTCAAGCACATTCCGACTAGGATTTCCGTGAAGTTCGGAGAACTTTAAATATTTAAGAAACTATAACATTCTGTTTAAATATATAGTTATGAGGGATCAGTCAATCCCTATATGATGGGTTTTTACTTGCCTCCACAGTCCTCAAACTTAAGCTGATCAGCCTGACGTATTTCTTTGTAGGCTTCAAGGAGAGCATCTATGCTTTTGACGTACTTCGAATAAGTAGATGGGTCAGACTTGCTGAAAGAAATTTCAGATTTGTCTGAGCGTGGGGTGTGTGATAGACCTGAAAAACATCAAATAGAGAAAACACAAAATACATTAGCAAAATAAATGCAGCAACCAAAGTAAAAGACATTATAGAGCAGTTCATTTAACTTTGGAAAAAGTGGAACATTGCATCATGTGAGTTATTGTGAGTCTGGTCTATTATCTTAGGACAATGTAGGGTCTTGGGGACTTCCTCAGATGGTCTCTGTCAGCTTTTTACAGCAGTAATTTTCCACAGACCTCGTGCATTAGGCCTCGGTGAGGCGTGGCATGACGAGAGTGAGATGGGTAAGAGAGCTGAACGGAAACATGACATTCATGAACCTTTCCCAGCCTCACTGTTGGATCTGTTTATTTGTTGCAATAGATGTCAGCAAGATTCAAGTTGGTGCAACAGAGACAGAGAAGTAACATTTGAATTTCAGTGGAGGCTTGTGAAAGTTCACCAATCCCCTGCCCCCACCCATCCATGCTCACGTGTGTCTCTCTCACAATGGAAACTTTTAGCCTCAGAGTGGGAGGCGGGCTAGAGCTCTGAAAAAAAAAAAAAAAAAGTACTCTCTGCTTCCTTGATCATGCCACTACTGGAAACTCGCTTTAGCTCAAAGCTCCCCACACTTACTTTGTTTCTTTCCGCTAATCTTTGATTGTCAACAGTCGTGGACAGAGCTGCAGGCAAACTAAGCCGAGCACATGAAGTCAGTCATCTACAATGACTGCTAAAAATACCGCCAAGGCTAGAGCATGTGCTGTGCAAACAAGTACTGGCACAAAAAACGAGGCAGGGCACTTAAAAATCTGTCTCCAAGCTTAGAGGAAATTTCGAAACACTTGTAGTGTGACTGCAGCAGGGTTTGATGACGCTGAGTTCTCACAAGATTACAGATTAGAAAAAAAACAAGCTTAGAGGCGTCTTAACTCTGAAAAAACATTCTTTTTTCTTTTTCAAACAATGAACTACAAACTCTGGCCACGCATGTACGTGTAAACATGTCGACTGTGACGCATGATCATAGCACACATGAATCGTTTTAGTTCCTCTATAGCCTGAGGGGGGAAACATTGACTGGCTGAGAGGAGTGAAGGACAAAATGGCTGAACCTATTTAAGGTCAGACAGACTCCTGATAGAGTAGCTGCTTAAAGGCACACCCCAACAGTCATTTTTAACTACATGAACCGCTGACAGAGAGAGGCCACAGACATTTCTGATCAGTGTGATGACAGCAAAGTCTTGAGCAGATTAGGCATCCATTACTACAGCAGATCACTGATACAGCCAAAGTAAAATGGTGAGGAAAATATATTTACCTGGGGGAGCCACTCTGTCCTGATAGGTGGGTTTGTAGTTACTTAGCGTAAGCAGCATAGCCTGAATGGTCCCAATGAAAATTCCAGCCAAGCATCCATAGAAAATCACGTAGAACAAGAAGATTTTGACTGTAGGGAGGAAAAAGTAAATTCTATTAATCATGTAATATAACAAAGCTGCAACAATAACCAGACAAACTGATGAATATGCATCTACTTTAATTAAGAAAATTTTAAAAATGTCTGATTTTAGCTTCTGAAATGTGAGAATTTGCTGTTTTCCTCAGTTTTCTATCATTGTAAAGTAGATATATTTGGGTTTTGGAGCGTTTCTTAGAGCACATGCCTGACTGCAGCAGATCTAAAAATGCTTAACGTCAATCCATTTCTTAAAATCCAGTGAATAAGTACAGAATTTCCTAAAAGCACTTTAGTTTGTTGTATTAGCTCACTAAGCAGCTGTCAGCCCAAACCTGCAGGAGACAATAAAAACCTTGAACCACAGATCTTCCACAAAATACAGCTACTCAGTGTGACTCCCTTCTTTTCTCATCATGGAAGTCGTTGTAGAACAATGATTGCTTTTTTCCCGTCCACCTAATTTAAAATGTATCCAAATTATGCAACGGCAGGAGGGCTGCGGTCCCTGTGCAACAGGATGAGTCACTGGTTGTTCCTGTCAGCGCCACAGCCACCTCTCATGCAGACCCTCCCCCCACTCTGTCACTTACAACAGGTTTGGCTTAAAAACACTGTCCTCACTTAAGTGAACACAAAGGCTCTTATTCATGTTGTTGTGGCAGACAGAAACTTTTTTTTTAATACCAGTTCTTGTTTGCCTACTTACAGTTGAGTTTACTGGGGAAGATATGCATCAGTACGTTAAATTGTTCTGTCAGTTGGCTGAATGCTAAATGTCAGAACTCCAAATCACATCACACATTGCAAACTTAAACAAATAGCTCCAACACATGGCCTTAAAACTGGGTATAAAGTGAGCAGATCTCCGTTGGAATCTTTATGCATTCAATTGCTAATCACCTTTAGATTAGTCTAGTTGTTTGTATCAGACTATACAATAATACTTTCTCTATCCTAGAACCCTTCAGATGTACCAGTATCTCCAGCTCAGGTTCAAAATATAATAAAGTGAGCTTTATCAGTTTTTAAAAATGAAAATCTACAATTAAAAGTCTAATTCTACTGCATCCTTTTAAAGCAGCACTTATAACCTTACTTTCATGTTTTTGTACAAACAGGTTCATCTGATACACCTCTTAGAGTAATATGAATATTCAGTATATTTACATGTATTTTGAATTCCTATTGGAATTAAAAGCATGGGGCTTTTAAAACGAAGTAAAAGTCCTAATTTAAAAAATTGGGCTTACAAATCTTTTAAATCTTGTCCAACAGTTCATTTGTTTTCTTTACTATTTTTCAATCCCTAACACAAAGTAAGAGCTACAGTATTGTCTAGGCTTCATATTGTTGTGGATTTAGGCTTAAGACAGCCGGATCATTGTTTCCATTCCTGATGGGTTTGCTGTTGTGGCACCTTCCTAAAATGTCTTCCCGCTGCCAGGTTCATGTCCAAATCAGCCACTGCAAAACCAGTTTGCTGGGTTGATTACATGTTCAACTCCACAACCTTATCTCCTGCCAGCAGAATGTAGCCCGAGAGGTCTGCAGGAGATTCAGTGGCGCACATGGGGCCTGACCTATGCATGCCCAACTGTTAGTCTGATATTGTTTAAATACACTAAAAGCAAGTGAACAGTGTTTCCAACATTTGTGCAGATGATATAACCGTGTCATTGTCAGTGGCGTTGGCACGTGAGGACGACATACCACAGCGACGACAACACGCAGCAGGAGTGACGAAAGGTTAGAGACTTACTGAATATAAATTTAACACACGGGTAAAAGCGGCACACAGCCTGGATTATGGGCTTCCATATGTTCCAACACGGCTACAAGTTGCCACAGCACCTGCTACTGATGCAAATGCATGAAGAGCTATGATCACGTCGGCAGCCAGGACAGGATTGCTCCGTGATGCACCTGTTCAGAAGGAAACTATAGAAGGACTGCCGTGTCAGGCGCTGACACCCGTGTTGGATTACAATTATGTGCTGTGATTTCTCTAGAGCCTAAGAAATAAATGTGTTGCCGTCTGCACAGCTGTCTGGATGAGAAATATACAAATTAGGGGTCAACTGATTTATTTTTGTTTTTTTTACAGGACTGATAACATTTAATAATAACCAAAAAGTTACATTTTCTAAAAAAAAAAAAAAGATATAAAACTTTGGTGTCAGAGTTTATCATAGCACAAACTCCAACACAAATATTTGTTGAAATGCCTCGTATTATGTTTCTCATAAGTTAAATTAAAAGAAACCACATTTAGCCTTTAGCGTTGATAGGCTGTTACTCGTGACGTCCAGCCAGTCAGATAGCGCTGTGGGCAGGACATTGCAGAGACCTCAGAGTGGTGACTGCACATGGAAAGGCAGCTGCATCTGAGTCAAAGAAGATCATTTCTGAATCTGTTTATTTTAGTGCGAACAGGTTATAAAAACAATGATACCGATAATATACTAAAATAAAATAAAGACTTAAACATCAAATCCAATCAAGGCTGCAACTAATGATTATTTTATTATCATTAAATATGTTGATTTTTTTTCCGACTGCTCAATTATTTATTTGGACGATAGAATGCCAGGAAATGGTGAAACATGTCAATCAGTGTTTCCCAAAGCTCAAGATATCCTTAAATGTCTTGTTTTGTCCTAAACCTAAAAACATTCAATTGACTGTCTTAGGAGGACTGAAGAAACCAGAAAAAAAATCTAATATACCAAGCAAGAATCAACGAATTGGGACTCTTTTTTCCCTAAAAACCTAATTAAACTGATTAATTGAAAACAGTTGTGGATTATTTTAATGGTTGACAACAAATCTATTAATCTTCGAAGCCCTAGATCTGATAATCGGTTGGTCCTGAAAACATTTTTTTCCTTGTAGTGCAGGTGAAATTCAAGCAAACAGGTCTGTCAAACTAGGGGAAGTTATACCCAGAACTTTCTTTTGTCATCCTTTGGACTTTTCATTTTATTTTAGCTGCCATGCATGCATTCATTTGACTTTACTATTTCTTAGCTGGTTAAAATGAGAACATGACCTCAGCAGGAATGTCAGCATGATTAAACTCTGAGCCTGAGCATCGGTAGAGATATGAGCAAAAAAAATAAATAAAAAAAACTTTAAGTACAGCCTGAAATTAAGACTGAAGGCCAGATATGTAAACAGCACGCAAAGTGTCCTAGTGGTGGTGAAAGGCAGTTTGAATGGAGAGCACCTCCCCCACCAGACTGCAGCGTGTTGTGAAGGGACCGACTCCACATTCACACCACTCTCATGTCTCCACACTTCCACTGACGTGTTTTGTCGAAGCTGGTTTGAAGGTTTTACGAGCTGCTCGGCTCGAAAATGTCGAAATGAAAACAGCGCAGAGGCAAAATGCGCGCCCTGTTTCACACTGTCACTCCCCGTTTCCTGTGTTGCTCATACTGAAAACTACAGAAAAAATTCTCAGAAAATGTAACAGTATAGTCTCGTGTATATATATATGCTGAGCAGTTTTTCCACTGTGCTGCGTTGTCAAGCTGCGTTGGTTTCAGCCACTCAAGGGCACAGAGCAGACAGACAAACCTGTTGCTTTTAGAGCTCTCACTTTTACTTAGTGCGACATCACCCTCCCTCACTACAAAGGCCTGTAATAGATGCTCTCTAAGTAGAACTACAATCCCGCTAACAGCAGAGCAACACTGACATGTGCTGATTTCCCCACTTCCTGGAAGTTCGACATTTTAGCACCAAAACAGCGGCTTTAACAGCGATACAAGGGCTCCACTCTCGCTTCCCCCCCTGAGCAGAATTAACATTTCTCAGCCAGTTTATTTAAAGCGTTAAGTTTTGAGAGGAAAATTCTCATTCTTCTTTTTTTCCCCCTTCTTCTTCTTCTTTTTCGTCTTTCGGGGAAAAATTAAATAAACAACCGCGCGATGGAGGAGAGAGAGAGGCAGAGCGAGGGGCGGCCCTTGAGACATGTGAGTCGTGATCTGCTCCACCGTGTTACCAAGCGGTGTCTGGCCGAGCCCGGCTGTGGTTCTCACCGGAGGAAGGAAAAAAACAGCATTTTCTCATTTGTTGAAACGCCTTAACGAGCTTAATAGGCAGTATATAATAGTAGGTAGTTATCCCATCAAATCAACAACCACTGCTGACCGTATTAGGCGAGCATTCCCCCGACTTAAAGTATTGAAAACAGTGGTAAAACCATTAGATCCTATAATCTTGTTGGTTTGAGTGAAAGGAGGAGGGGGAAAAGCATAACCGGGCCTGTATACAGGAGGCAGATTAGCTGCTCAGCTTATTAATGGCAAGAATAAAATGTCCTCTTCCATGCTCCTTGGTGGGCTAAAATTAAAATAAAGGGGAAAAAACATGAACCAGGGAGGTGCACAACAACCAAAACCCAACTTTGTTCCACCATCTGATTCAGTAAAAAGTCCTGGCCCGGTACAGTCTGTCCTTCAAGATGACCTTTTCATAAAGGACAATTATTATTGAATGACCCGATACGGGCTACGCCTTGGTAATCATTATCTAATACAGAGTATTGGCCACAAAACCTATTTTAATCTTATCGAAATCATGTGAGCTCACAAACAGCAAAAGCAAGCTCGCAAATCATCCAATTATAATGCGAGTTAATTGGTTTATTAACGTTTTAAAAATACCCTAATTTTTGACTTCATTCGACCTGTAGCACGTCCAGCGGGCTGGCTCTGCCAGAGGAGCCCGTCTGGAGCCTCACAAGTGACTTTCATTCGGATTGAAAAGAGCAACTTCGGCACACAGCCTCCATTGAAAAACGAAGTCACGACGCAGCATGTCAAAGGCACTGAGCTCTAACAGGTGCTGTCTGTCTGTACAGTCAGAAAACCGCGGGGGAAAAAATGGAAAAAATCCCCTTAGAGAGGACAGTTTCCACTCTGCTCCGGCCAAACATTAACGGCACCGTCGTCTACAAAAGGCTGCTAGCTGCTTAGTTCGCTGAAATAAAGGAAAAAAGAGTACTTACGCCAACTGCCCCCTGTTCGTCCTAGAAACTCCCTCTTCTCTGAATTCCACAGAAAATTCCTCCATCCGCCGTCGCTGTCTTTATTTCCAGACATATTAACTCCCCGGTGATGTCCCCCCTTTTGTTTTTTCGGTTTACCTGGTTTTTGAACGCCTGGCTGGGGCAGTTGTTTGCTCACACTGTTAACTGTCCCTCACAGGAAACACGAAAGGACAGTTTCGCCCCAGACTCCGCCAATTGTAGCACACACAATTTATCTCTCGGGGAGACCGGCTCCGCCCGCCAACTCCCGTAATAAGTTACCCGCGAAGAGGGAGGGCTCAGGCCGGCAAATCACAACCTTCCCTGGCTTTTTGCGTAAGAGGCGAGCGGAGGGGGGCTTGTTCCAGGCAGGTAACCGGCGCACAGAGCCGCCACACAGGAAAACGTCCAACAGTTGCCGCAAACCGTTTAAATGATGCCGCTGTCATGGCAACCGCTGCGGTCTCTAAACTGTGATGGTGATAAAAAAAAAAACAAAAAACAACAACAACAAAAAAAACGGGCTGGACATGTTCTGTCAGTGATAAATGTAGGATGTCACTTGATAGAAATCAACTGCAGTTTGTGGTGGAGTTGGTGGTATATCTGCTGTGACAGATGGATCGACTGTTTCCTACTGAAAAACGTATTTATGAATAGCCTGCACTACAGGTGTGCCAATTAGCTTAATTCAACGGTTGATTTTTGGCTATTTTATGCGAATGAAACACAAAAAAAATCAATCTTCTGTATTTAAAAAAACACATTGTTTTGATGTGTGTTGTTTTAAATGTGCTAAATAATCATTAACTAGCAATAAATATGCAGAATTAGGTGAACTTTATTGTCATTCAAGCTATATAAAACGTTGCTATTGAAACAAAATTACACTGCATTGGGCCATTATAGTATAAATAAGAATATGCCCTCTTATAAAACAACAAAGTGCTAATATTAAAAGTGACTTGAATAACTACAGCAATAAATACTTAAATAAAATAACACGTAAGAAGTATAAAAAAATAGTGTTGTGTGTAGCAGAACCATGCTATATTAGCTCGGCTAAAGTTAGCGCTTATGTCGTTAGCACTTTAGCAGGTTTGGATGGTACATCTTTGGCTTATGTAGGTGTGCTAATAGGTAGCTAAAGCCAGCAGTTGTTAGTTTTCTTGTAGCACTTTGGTTCAATGTCTGTTGCTATAAATGTGCTTAATTAATAAAGGTAACTTGACAATGCTGAAAATCATCATTAACTTACAAAATATATGTAGTAGAACCTTACTACATTAACTAGGCTAAAGTTAGCGCTAATTTTGTTAGCACCTTTGCAAGTTTGTCTGGTTCACCTGTGGCCATCATAGTTCGGCTACTAAGTAGCTAAATCCAGCAATTGATTGTTGTCTACTGTTGTGAAAGACACATAAAAATAAATCTTCTGTATTAAAAAGCACATTGGTTCAAGGTGTGTTGCTTAAAGTGTGCTAAATAGTCATTATGAACCGGCAGTAAATATATAGTAGAACCTTGCTATGTTAACTTGGTTAATGGTAGCGCTTAGTTTGTTAGCAAATTTTGTATTTTTGGATAGTACATCTGTGGCTAATATAGTCCCGCTAATAAGCAGCGAAATTCAACAATTGATTATTGCATGCTGTACTTTCGGACACACCTGTATACAGACACAAACATTTTGTTAAGCTAAATGCTTGTTAGCATCATTTTTTGGCTTTGAAATTGCCACTTTTTTTTTTTTTTTTTTTTAAAGAAAAACACACCCATGCTGCTTTTCTAAAGAAACTGACTTACAGTTGAAAACTGAATTAATAATCTATTTAATGTAGTCTATAAAATAAACATAGTGAACCCTATTTGTATCAAGTTGAATGTACACTGGATTGAGGAAGAGGAACACTGGTTATGATGAAAGCTAGAAAGCAGACCCATCTTTTAAGCTGTTGCACACCAGCCTCGCAAGACAACATATCTCAAGTTGGCCTCCATCTTGTGACAAACGTTAGCATGCCATTTTTGTTATTGGTCCGTAGTACACTAACAGATAGTGTAACCTTGAGATTTAAACTCGGATAAAGTAAATATTTTGATAGTAGAACCTTGTTATTTTAACAAGGATAAAGTAGCAATCAATTTATTAGCACTCAGCCCTTAGCGCTCAGGTCTGGTAATTATCTGGTAGCTAGTTTAACCGAACAGTTGAGATATTAGCATCTGAAAGACATGATTCTAAACACTGCTACAAACATGTTAGGTTTAATCTGCTAATGTCAGTCAGCGTTATTTTGTGACTATAAAAGTGGTCTGCTAATTAGCTCTTAAAAAACAAAAACAAAAGCACACAAAACATGCCTGTTGGTCTGTTATTTTTCTGCTCTGAGTGGTCTGGTAATTAGGACTTGTAACTGGTAACAAATAGTAGAATTGTGTTATTTTAACTAGGATAAGGTAACCCTTATTCAGTTAGCTCTTAGCATGTTTTGCAAGTTGTCATGTTGCATCTGTGACTAATGTAGGCATGCTAATGCGTAACTCTATCCAACAGTTGATTATTGCATACTGGACCCTCAGACCTCTCCAATGACACTTGAAAGGAATTTATTTGAAACACTGTTACAGACATGTTAGCATTATTGTCAGTCAGTATGATTTTTCAGAGCTATGAAAGTGGTCTGCCAGTCAACATTTCTGTTTTGACAACACACAAAGCATGTACATGTAAAGACTCCGGATTATAGCCACAAAAAAAACCCCCAAAAACTTAAAATGCATTTGATATAGGCCATTAAATACACGTAATGGAACATAATGGTAATGAGGTGAACACAAACAGCACTTCTGCTTTTAAAAACATGTAAGGCTGCTATAAAGAATCCAAATTATAGCTGAAAAAATTTTTTATATATATATATATCATTATAGGGTGTTATAAAAAAAAACAGACTTAAACATAATGATATCAAAGCGAAAACTAATTGTATTAACATTTTGAACAATAGAAAACTGGGATTTTAAGGGCCCATCTGCTACCAACTGTTGCACACTAGTCTTGCAAGAAAATAGGTTTTCACGTTAGCTATCAGTTTCTTTAACAAATTTAAGCATGACATTTTTGTTAATTGTCCATTCTACACGGATAGATAGAAACGTGCTATTATGACAGATAACATAACAGTTACTTTGTTAGCGCTCAGCACTACCTTTTTGTTTGCAAGCTAAATGCCTACAAATAATTTAATCTTGAATATGATGAGTAGGCATTCAAATCATGCTGTCTAGTAGATTTTAATTTAGGCTGCAATGTGTGTACACAAAAACCTAGCATTATATTCTAGCTTTTCAGGAAGGCTTAAACAAATGGTCATGGGGAGAATAAGAGAGAAAAAACAAGTGAAAGTTGATGGAACAAAAGTTATACAGGAAAAGAGGTGGGTAAAAAATACAACAGCAAACAATCTTCTTGTACTTTAAGGTCATCTGTTGTTCTGAAAACAAAAAGGAAACAAATCATTTCCTGTAAGTGGGAGCTGACAGCATTTGATGACTGAATATTCACTGCAGCACTCAGAGTCACTTGGTCATGAGTCATAGAACGGTGACTGTGCTGAGAAGTCAGAAGGCGACTTCCTGTTTGAATGCATGTTATTGACTTTATCAGGGAATGCTTCACTTTACATAGGATTAAAAAAAAAAAAATCAACAAAGAATTAAATTAAACTGCACAGCACTAATTTCCAGTAAGACTATTCCATTTTAGAAGGGTGAAAAAAAGGTTGATGGAGAATTTTTTTTAAATTTTTTTATGCTAACCATGTTTCTCATTAAAATTTTATATGATGAATGAATCAGTGCCCAGCAAGTGTTAACAAGTCTTCTGTCAGCATACATATCAACCCTCCCTGTCACACGATATAAACAGTTTCTGATTAAAGATGAATGTTGTTTATTAAAACACACCGTGTAGTTACATTGCATTGAACTGTGCCTGCCATCTACCACTGCCCTATAAGCACTAATCTGTAAATTCACACATAAATGCACTTGTGATTTGTGGCACTCTGTTGCTACTTGTCAAAACACTGCCATCACTTAACATATACATGAGCTAGTATGTTGCTTTTGTATATAAATATAAAACTACCTCCAAATGCTCTGTATACACTGAAACAACAGCGGCAGAAGTTTGCTTTTTAAATAAATACAGAAGAAGCAGCAGTCACCCGGAGCTGCTTTCAAAGCAGCTGTGAAAGAAAAACAACACTTACAAAAATATCAGTTTCAGAAAGGTGTGACAGCAGTGACGTGTATGTTAAACTGCCACAACAATTTTGGGAAGCAGATTGCAAAGCTCCGCCAGAAATGTCTGCCATAAGTCTTATTAGTGTTGATTAGAAAAGAGTGTTTTTGCCAGAAGACATGTAATCTTGGAAAAACATGTTTGGGAAATATAATATATACAGAAGAAAAAGAATGCCTTTCAATTCTCAAATACTTGTTCCATTCATACTAGTGATCCGTACTTCTGTTTGAAAGGGTAAAACAGCCGGTGTTATGTGCTGCTCTGTTTTCACACCATTAAAAGTAAACAATGTAATGCACTCCTTTGCAAGACTATTGATTCTGCAGTGATAACATAGCAGTCCACTGTTTACATAGATCAAGGGTTTGCCAAGATTACCAGGAGGTGCAGCATTTTGAGACAGGTTGTGGAGGGAATCTGGTATGCAGCCTGCGAGCTGGACTTGAGCTCATCAACAATAGTGTGTCTATGCAGCGAGCCAGAGGGACGATGGCCTCCTGGACTGGATTTTTGACAGCACTGTGGATACGTACTGACAGTGAAGCAAAACACTTCAGTTTAAAACAGTCCTCGGTGGTCAGACGAGATATGAGAAAAAACAGGAACAGAGGGAAAGAATGAACTTGCTTACATTCTGCCCTCTTGTCAGGAGAGTTAAACTGAGGTGGTTGTTTTCTTGCTAGAAGTCCTGCTCTGCTTGTTGATTTAAACCCTCATCACAACTCTTCTATGTGTATCAAAGTTACATATTTAGATTTTTTCCCGTAAAAGTAAACCCTTTCTGTTATAAAATGGCTCAGGTGTAACTCTACATGGTTGCATACTGTAGCATGTGTGAATTTACACAGTTCCTGCTGCTGTCTCTGCCCACCACTCTGCTACTCGCTGCAGCTCACCACACCAGCTCACTTGTGA